GCGATGTATACATATTGGTTAAGGAAATCACAACTGCTGTATGTCATCATCTCCAGCCTCAGAAGTGAAAGTGGTGTGAAATGTGTTTAAAATGTGGCAGGCGATAAAAGATGTAGATTCTGTTCCCTTCTTGAAAACAGATCTTAAAATGATCGCTGGATGATTAGTTGATTAAAAAGTTTCATTAATTCATTATAACTTGCTTAAAGCTTCATATCGGCTTGGATAAAGAAAATAAGACTATTGGAAATTGATAGTCCGTGCTCAGATTTTCATTCCCTCTCCTTTTTTAATAAGAGACGTTTCTTACGTTGATACCCAAAGGGAGCTGCTGGAGGGATGAAAGTCTGTGGTCAGTGGAGCAGATGCTGTGTTAATTGGCCAGCCTTCTGCTGAGATGCTGAGTACATGTACTCTAGATCTCAGGTTAAATATTGCCTCTGCTAACAGCTGTGGAAACTACACTTTTGACATGTTTACCACCACTGCCTTTAATTGAGACCTGGGAAACACAATATATTCACAAAAATATCTCGCCTTGTTCTTTTTCCATGCTTTAAACATTAAAATCACCTTGAATTATGACTAGCAGAAAAACATTCTTTCATTTTTGAATGAGTGTTGCCTAATTCCAGTGACACTGAGATTGACATTGGTCAAAAAAGAAAACTGATTCCTTCTCCTATTAAAATGATATTGTATTTCATGGGCAATACATCCTATTTGTGAATAGATTTTCAAAACTCAAAACTCAAATAAACTTAAAAATAGTATTTTTTTTATTATCATTATTCAGATTAAGAATTTCACTCTTTTTATTGAAGATTTTTGTAGATGTTTGTGTAAATGTTTGTAGATGGGGAGATAAAAAGTCTGGGTAAGGAGACCAACCAAATACAATGAAATTATGGCGAATTTAATCTCAAGAAAAATTAAAGACACATCATTAAAATATGTTTTAAACTATTCTTCAAAAGTAATTTAAAACTAGGAATGGGCTAAGATTCCTCAGAAATTCTGCCAGAAGCTGTCTGGTTAAATATCTCCTTTGCAGCAGGTCAAAACAGCTAAAGGGTTTTCTACTAAGTACTAAAGATGCTTGCTATGAAGGGATTGAGACTACAGAAGTCGTTAAAAATAAATAATAATGAGACTGCAATTTTGAGACTGCAGAAGTCATTAAAAGTTGCATTTTCAGTTTAATTTGGGGAAACCGCTTGAGATATTTGTTGTGTTGAGCTATTTCAATTACTTTTGTTTGATTTGTTCCTTGATTCCTTGCGTCAGAGGAATAATGTTTAGGGTCATTGTACTCTTGTAAAATATCAACTGAACCTCTTAAATATGCCATGTGTTCTAATAATTTTGGCCACCACTATATAATATATATATATGAATATATCTTTCAAACTAAACTAGGAGGCAAAAAATGGAGAGGTGCCAGTGTTTACTCATTTAAATCGCAGTGCTTTCTGTTTAAACTTTATGTATAATAGACACATAATATACACATACAATAATGGAACTTTGTAATTATTTTTTTTTTTCTAAAAATTAAAATGCTAATTGCACAGGAAGTTATGACCACGCCTAAGGCACTTTAACAAACTTCATGCTAAATAAACTGACATTGTTTAAAACACAGACAAAAGCTGCCAATTTTCAATTAGAACATTCAAACTGTGTGAATCCATTAACCGTCTGGCTCTTTCCGATATCCTATGAAAAAACAAACGCTGAGATGAAAGAACCACAATCTCCTCCACAACTCACTCATAACAACAACACACACACACCAAGGTGACCTCATGCTTCAATCTGCCCATGGAATCGTTGATAAACACTTCGTCATTCCACAAAGAGGAGTCGGAAAAGAGTGGGAGGGCCAAAAGAGCGTTGTTTGTTTAAATAATAGAGTGAGAGCCACAGTCTTGTCAATTTACATTGTCATGCTGTCAGGCCAAAACCATACCCAAACTGACAGCCTGACATTAGGCCAGCTGAGATCAATCGTCTACTGTGAGGGACAAAAGAAGCGTAACCTTTGTAATTGCAGTCATTAGCCACATAGCTTCAGCGCTGAGATGGTGGCAACCTCACGGTACACGCCTGCAGCCGTAATGAAGAGGGAAAACAGTGGGGATCATAACTTTTTCCATTGCAGGATGTGTGGGGGATTTATGACGCCATGGTCGATTCTCAAAATGGCCTAGGAGGGAATATCATTAATGGGTCTCCTTGTCATGGCAGAGAGGCTTTCAATGAAATGGACAGCATGCAGTTACACTTGAGCATCCATGGTAGCTGTATCCTAGCACTCGATTCAATATCAACTGCAAGAAATTCTGACATGGGCTGGGCCAAAAAGGGGGCTCAAGCCCCTGCCCCTTTTGTCTCAAAATGTATTGTGCCCTTTTCTGATAATTGTAAATAATAATAATTATTAGCATAAATATTATAATAAATAACAATACACTTACACAGCCTTGTGTATATTTTCTTAGAATGCCAAGGAAAGAAAGAATAAAAAAAAATAAAAAAAATGTTTAGTGCCCTTTTTGGTCCCTCCGCCCCTGCCCCTGAGGAGGTCTGTGCACGCCACTGCTCCTCACTATCCTCATCAGCCACTTGAAGGGCCTTTGAAGTTTCTTGTTTTTCACGCTATTTCTCTGCACATTCCTTGCGTTTCTTTTCCATCGCTCTGACTATTTTGACAGATACACACTGACACTGCTCGCTCACTCAGAGCTCAAAGGGGGAGGGTGTTTAAAGATGTGATTGGACCAGCCCAGTGTCAATCAAGAAAATAACCAATGAGCCGCTGATCTACGCGTCTCATGTGGCGGTCTGTGAGGGAAAAAAAACATACGCTGTGTCCAACGCATTACACTGGCACAAAGATCCCAGCGCCGCCAATTAAGCACAACTAAATGCAATGGGCCGCCGATGTGCGAGTTTTATAGGCCGTTCAGACAAAAAAAAAAAGTATCAGATGTATCGGCCCACAAAGCACGTCGGCCCACCGGGAAAATGCCCGGTATGCCCGATGGCCAGTCCAGCCTGTTAGGTTATGGTTAGGTGTTAGTGTTCGGGTTTGTAGAATAAGTTGACTTGTAGTTGCCAAGTTACTTATAGTCAGTAGAATATCTGGTGGGGGAGAATCAAAATAAAGAGTTAGCAGATAATAAGCAGACATTTTACTAATACTCTAATGACAATTAGTTGATATGTAGTTGCAAAGTTACTTAGTAGAATGTCTAAAGTGGACTAATTAAATGTTGTTAATTAATATTACTCTGTACTTGTTTGTTTAATTACACTATTACAAGGGCACCTTAAAATATAGTGTAAAGTGCAGTACACATAGCACTTGGTTATCGTATGTGTGAATTTTCACAGGCAAAATCCAGTCATTTCAATAAGAATCCACACGATCTGGAATGTTGCGTGATGGTGAAAGATTGCCCCACACCGATTTTAAAATGGGTTCAAGTTGGTCACCTGAATTTACCTCATTGACCAACAGAAAGGTGTTTGGTTTGAAAGTAACAATAGATAAATGGAACTTTTTGCCCACCAAATTTCAATGTGACCTCACCTTAAAATGCGGGAGTTTGCGCCAACATGAGGCAAGTAAAAGTGATGTGAAAAGTGAAGTGAAATGTGTGTGTACAAATCTATTCAATCTCCTGAGATTGAAGCGAAACTGTAACTTAAATGGGATTGTTTTGAAAGTATGAAGCCACCCAGCCAGCAATGACATGTGGGGCCCATATGAGGGCTTGATGGACGGCAAATGTGGGCCCCATTATGGGCTTGCACCCGGAATCCACATTGGGGCAAGCTGTGGAAGCCCAGACGTACTAAAAGTGGGACCTGTAAGGGTACTGCATGGGTCTTAATTGGGCAATTCATGTCAGACCCATTTGGGCCCCACCTGCCCAAATGGGTCTTAAGTGGGCTTGCACCCGGGATCCAACCATGGTTACCCAGATGGGCTTTAAATGGGCTCTGTAAGAGTCTTATGTGGGTCCTAAGTGGGAAATTCATGCCAGACCCATTGGGGCCCCACCTGCCCAAAGGGGTTTAAAGTGGGTTTGCACCCAGGATCCAGCCGTGGATGCCCAGATGGGCTTTAAATGGGATCTATAAGGGTGTTATGTGGGATCTTAACCGGGCAATTCATGACAGACCCATTTGGGCCCCACCTGCTTAAAGGGCATTTAAAATAGGCTTGTACCCAAGATCCACACAGGGGGCCAGCCGTGGATGCCCAGATGGGTTTTAAGTGGGACCTGTAAGGGTCTTATGTGGTTCTTAACTGGGTAATTAATGTCAGACCCATTTGGGCCCCACCTACCTAAAGGGGTTTAAAGTGGGCTTGCACCAGGATTCAACCGTGAATGCCCCTATGGGCTTAAAGTGGGCTCTGTAAGGATCTTATGTGGGTCCTAACTGGGCATTTCATGCAAGGCCTATCTAAGCCCAACCATGCCAAATATTTTAAGGAAACAATCTAAGAAAAACTAAAATCGAAGAATGAATATAAGTCCAAGATAAATACAAGACACTTGACGCTTTGAACTGCAAGAAATATATTGTTTAATTGAACAACAAAAACAATTTAAATGTCACAACAGTAGATCTCTGAAAAAAAAATCTCTGAAAAAAATAAAATAAAAAATCTCTCCAAAAAATACATTAAAGGAGTAGTTCACTTTTAAAAAAACTTTTGCTGATCATTTACACACCCCCATGTCATCCAAGATGTCCATGTCATTCTTTCTTCAGTCGAAAAGAAATTAAGGTTTTTGATGAAAACATTCCAGGATTTTTCTCCATATAATGCACTTTTACTGGGTACCAAACGGTTCAAGGTCCAAAAGACAGTTTCAGTGCAAACTGTTCAAAGGGCTCGTTCATCAAAATGCAAAATGAACAAATCTTTTTTCAAGTAATTTGGTTCATTCAACGAACGAAATGACTCGGAAAAAGATTCGTTCCTTTTTGATAAACGAGTTTGAACAGGAGAGTCACGAACGCGCATCACAGAACAGAGCAAGGCGAGCATTTGAGCTTATAAAACTTAAACTTTTTTTTTTTTTTTTTTAAATGAGCGATCGTTTCGCTTGATAAGACCCTTATTCATCGTCTGGAATCGTTTAAAGCCCTTTGAACAGTTTGCAGTTTGCACTGAAACTGTCTTTTGGACCTTGGACCGTTTGGTACCCAGTAAAAGTGCATTATATGGAGAAAAATCCTGGAATGTTTTCATCAAAAACCTTAATTTCTTTTCGACTGAAGAAAGAAAGACATGGACATCTTGGATGACATGGGGGTGTGTAAATGATCAGCAAAAGTTTTTTTAAAAATGAACTACTCCTTTAATACGAAATACACTCATGGCGTGGTGGATGCTCCCTTTTGTCTTTGGGCTCTTGCAGCCCTCTCCCCTCCACGGTCACGTGCACCGGTGAACCACTTCCCCAGCGCCATTTCCACTTGCTTGCGGTTCACACTTTGAGTAATTGCATTACTCTTCAGTGCACCTAAAAACAAAGGAGCATTAGTCAATTTAGCAAGGTTCTTTTTTGCTCCAACTTGCATTTAAAAGAGAAGCAGAGTAACATTAGGTCTCGAAATCACAATTGTTCTGTCTTTGGCGCAACAAGTCACTGAAAGTGTTAACTGCCCATTTAGTTGTCTTTTTCGTATTGACCTCCTCTTTGTCGTCTTCGATCTTATCTAGCTCTGTCTTTTCCCTCAAAAAAAAAAAGCCTAAAACGTATCTAAGTAATAGGCTATTTCGTTGTCACCCTGCCTCTCCAAATGCAAAACTGACATTATAAAATGCAATAATGCAGTAACAGCTGAAAAAGTACTTGGGTGTGTGTTTTATTTTATATTTACCGGTCAATAATGCAATCGCTGCTGTCTGTCCCATAGAAGAACATGACAGCCAGCGTATGTTTTGGAACTATTGGGGCTTACATGAACCACGTGACAGCCATCGCAGCGACATCAAAGAGCGTCGCAACTCTTTCTCTCTATGGCTCTGAGCCTACCTAACGTTTTCATATGTTATGTGTCTCTCTCTCACTCTTTTACAAGTGTAACTCTGTTACTATGGTTACCAATGTTTATAGTAGCGGATTAATTTCGAACTGTAATCAAACTGACTGGAACTACCTGTGCATTAAACGGTTTTACTGCACACCTTCCAGCCAATCAGAATCGAGTATTTAAACAGCCCGTGGTATAAATATATATATATATATTAGTGCTGTAGCGGCGCGTCGATGATGTTGACGCTTCGACGGCAAAATTACGTCAACGTCATATTTTTTGCGTCGACACTTCTTTATTTATTTATTTTTTGCACATTCCCGGCGGTACAGCTTGCCACACACACACGGGAGACCGAAACATTGCAGAATAGAGCACAACTAGAAGTGAATGTGCTTTCCATTAAATTAATCACACACATTAAGCAAACCTAAGCAAACCTTTGCCACATAAAGCAAATGGTTTTGGAATACCACAGCAAGTGATTGGGAGCACTTCGACTCGGCGCATATATATCTATGGACTCGGCGAAGTAATATCATCACTCTGGAGAGGGAGAGGACTTTTCACGAGTGATATACTACGCCGAGTCGAAGTGCTCCCAAGCACTTGCTGTGGTATTCCGCCATACATTATAGTTATCCACTTTACACGCTTAGAAAAGCGCAACGTTTTATTTTGTGTCACCATTCTTGGTCGAGTTACTCTACTGGTGTAACTGTATTTAAATAGGGAAAACGTGGAGGTGTTTGCTCGCTTCTCTGCTTGGCCCCTATTGAATGAACTGGGCTAGTTAAGTGCGATCAAAGTGTCTCGCGCGCCAGAGCGATTGAGTGCATGCATTGAGACGAGAGAGGTATGTATCAACTCGTCTTAGTAAAGGGAATAACATAGTTTAATATGAAAAAACGGTGGAGTATCCCTTTAAAGTAAAAATAAATTAAATCCTGACCATATGCTACTATATCTACATTCTCATTGAAGGAGGGACATTTTCATTTCTCCTTTTTGTAGGTCTCGTTTCACTTAATCATTTCAAACACTTAATCACTAACCCTGTTTTTTGTCCGGTCTTCACCTGCACTCCACACTTTCTTAGACACAAACGCCTCGGGAGGGGTAGGTGGCAAGACATCTCCCTCGATGTCTGTTTCCTCCTCACTGGAAGCCAGCAGGGGTTTTGGTGCTCTATATTCAGTTAAAAACATACATTTAAACTTTTACAACAGAATACACTGGGAAAAAAAGCAGTTTTTGTTAGAGACATACTGATCTAGTTTTGGACTCTAAAATATTGGCATCAATATTGCTTTTTATGATTTATTCCCACCAAAATGAGTTTTTTTATTGTATGTGGCTCAAGGCATTTTTCTAACAACTGCCATATTTGAGGTAAATGAAAAATGTAAATTAAAGGAAAAGGAAAAGGTTTTTTTGAACCTGGACCTTATTTCTAGGGTTTTTGTTACTAAGCCTGCCCTGGGTACACTAATTTTCTTGTTAAGCTTATGTACATTTATATTCCAATGAAGGTTATTGATAACATGCTTACAATACATATAGGCCCCTGTGGCACGGCCTAAGCTTTTGTCCTTTATGCAACCCCTATCTAGATTTAGTCGACTAAAATCTTATTGTATGTCGTCGACTAAAGCTAGAATAAAACTAAAACAGTTCAGATGACTAAAATATAATGGGTTTAGTTCAATAATGCATTAATTTAGAATTTCTCAAAAATGTACAAACCCATAATTATACTGTAATAGAGAAAACATCTATTAACCAGTTAATATGAATGATTTTAAAGTTTGAACATGCAATATACAGATTTAAGTACTGTGACTTAAAAAATATCTTAAAATTAAATAAAACCACTTTTCCTAAAGTAGAATAGTCTTCTTTTCAATGAATGATACATGCATTCTTTATAACTACTTGCATACATCATTCTTTATTCTTTCAAGCAGCAGACATATTTATTTGTATTAATTAATTATAATGAATCCTTATTAAAGCTATTAACGAGCAGTGATGTTTAATCTCTTTTTCTTTTTTTTCTTGATGACACAGACCGCATTGTGGTTTATTACACAACGTTCACTTTAAGACATCGGATCATGTACAATGACATGCGGATCCACTTGCACTGATGCACATCCAATACACTCAAAACTGTTTAAGACATAAAGTTCTGGATGCGTATGCAACCCGAGGACGTAGTCACTAACGCTGGACCACCAAAAAAAAGAAATCTTTATTACTACAGAGAGAGAAGGTCAGGGAGGAGACTTCAGTTAGCTGTGCTCAGCATAAACATCCATAAACATTACAGTATGATTACGGCATTTCACAGACTGGCGTTCATGGCGCAGCCGACTCAAGCCGGAGTGCAACCTGTTCTCAATATACATGTCTATGCTGAGCACAGCCAACTGCTGCTGGGCTCCTGTCTGTGGTGTATGTCATCACTCACGTAGCCATGGCCGTGCACGACCGGGTTATTGCTAATATTCCGGGTTTGAACGGGTTATTGGCTGCATGTAAACGTAGTCAATGTGTTGCAGCTCTTTCTGCTCGGCTGAATGAACGGCAGTCTGTGAAACGCTGTAATCATATATCGAAATATCGGAAATGTGTTTAAAGCTCATATCACCGTTATTAAAAGTATATCGTGATTCGTGATATATGAATTATTGTCCAACCTCTCCCGCTGTTTTCCCTTTGGTTAGATTCTACATCAGATTAAACAGCACAAACCAAAAATTACAGACCACTGTACAATCTGCAGTGTTATTTTTCTGGCAACATAATATTTAAACTTACCTCAATTCTTGAATGTCTGATATGAAGTTCTTCTCCTCGAAGTGACAGCTAGCAGCGGTGCTTTCCGAATGGACCGTTAACGTTTTGAGCGCGAAACAATGCCTTTGCATACAGGCCCCTTATAGATGTCCTAAGAACTGCCTGACTGAATAACAATTAAATACAGTAAAATTCGTAAATATGTGAGAGAATTAACAAACGTTAACTGCTTCGCTGGCTTCATATGAATCAGCCTAATTAGGTGTTGTGTGCATAACAGGCAGTGGTGGAAAGAGTACTGAAAATCTGTACTCAGGTGCAAGTACTGCTGTATTGCTATTATTCTATTACAAGTAAAAGTACTGGTGTTAGAGAAATACTCAAGTAGAAGTACAATTTGTAAAAAAAAAAAAAAAAAAAAAACTAATCAGCTAGAGTTACTTTTAACCACTGATGTCACCGCCACTTCTCGGGCTGGATGTGTGTTTTCCTTTACCAAAATTTAAAACCACAACAATCTATTAATCATTAATAATTAATAAGATACAAAAGTGTTTTTCCCTAATTTTTTCTCAAACAGATCTACTGTACCTTTTACAGCCAATCAGTCATTGTTGGTGTATGCTACACCTTGATAGAAACACATGCTACTCCTTGGTCCAAGGACAAAACAGAAGTGTAAGACAGATAATGAGGCCTCCTGCAAGTCCTTTTCTAACAAATATTGAATTACAATTTCCTAAGAGGTAATAAATGCATCATATTCATGTCCATAAAGGGACTAGCTGTCTGTGAGCTATTTGGCCTCGATCATCTTAAAAAATGAAATACCGTAAAACTTCAAATTGGATCCCGGAGTTTTATTTGACCAAATTGGGACAGGTAAATGGGATGTGGATAACCGTTTGGGGTTATTTGTAGGGATGCTTGACATTGATTTTGTACCGATATCCGATTTACCAATATTGTCCAATGCTTAATTTCCGGTACCGATATTAGCTGATACACCGAAACATATGATCCTTTATAGGCTTACTGCCCACTGTTCCATGACTCACTTGATACTGGGGATTTGAATGTTTTGAAGGACTAGCCAGCAACCGGTTGGCTAACTGGGGTGCGGTGCTTACTACCCCTTCGAGAGAAGATGCCAACTGAACATTTCTTTGACTGAGGTAAACTACAGCAACACTCAAATTTTGTCTGCATTCGCTTTGAGAGGAAACATGCTTTCCAAAAAGATATAAAATGACATACTTTAGTCATTTTAAACCATTTCAAAAACCTATACCGGTTACCGATATTGAATTTTAAAGCCAATATCGGCCGATTATATTGAGCATC